CCCTCTATTTACCATTCTTTTTCTTCACTACTATTGTGTTTGATAGCCATGTCGGGTAATTTACCTCTCGAATGGCCCTGGCCTCGAGAAGTCTGTCCACTTCCTCCTCCACTGCTTCGACGTATATCAACGTCGGTCTTTTTGCTCGTTGGATTATAAGTTTGGCCGACCTGTCAACGTTCAGCTTATGACAAGTGACTTCGGGGTCAATGCCAGGCATTTCGTAGGGCGTCTATGCGAACACCTCAATATTTGCTCTTGAAAAAGCTTCCAACTCTTTTTCCTCTTCTTCGGCTAAGCCCGAGCCAAGAAGAAAGAAGCGTTCTTCATCCCCCTCCTGGACAAGGATTTTATGTAGTGCCTCTTCGCTCTTTTCGGCTAGCTCGTTGCCGACATCCTCTAGGACCTCCACGTCTTCGTCTTCGATTTCTACCTTTTCTGGTTTTCGAATGCTGCAGGTGGATTTCATTGCAGCCATGGAGCAATTCTTTTCCTGCAGCTGATCTCTTCTGACCTCCTCAATCCTATGTTCTGTTGGGAACCGCAATAGTTGATGTAATGTTGAGAGAACAGCCCCCATTGCATGCAACCATGGCCTTTCCAAAATGATATTGTAAGGGAAGGGTGTGTTGATTACGATGAACTCTGTTGTTATCTTTCTGGTGCCTACCTGCACCTCCAAGCTGGTTATTCCCAGTGGCCATGTCGGCGTTCCATTGAACCCGACCATTGGGCTATTGGATTGCTCCATATCGTCTGGGTGAAGGCCGAGCTCCTTGTAACATCGGACGTACATGATGTCACAAGAGCTGCCTTGGTCAATCAGGATGCGTTTTACTTGGCATTCCCCAACCTAGAGGGATACTACCAAGGTATCAATATGCGGATGCTATACCATCTCAAGGTCGGCTTCAGAAAAGGACACTACTGGTCCTTGGCATTCCTCTGCCCGATGTCTCTTCTCCTCGACTTGGTAGACATGCTGCAAGTGCTTCACCTTCTGAGTCTCCCCCCTAATTTCATTCTCGTTAACCTTCGAGCGAATTACATTAATTACCCGAGGTCCTCCTGCCTGAGGTTGCTGCGCTGGGGGAGGTGGAGCTGCTAGTGCCTGAGGCAGTCTTGCCTGTTCTTCTCTTGTTCTGGCCTCATCGACAAGGTCTCTCAGATGGCCTTACCTCACCAGGTCTTCCAAGTGTGTTTTCAGGGCTCTGCAGCCTTGAGTCATATGCCCGTTTTCATTGTGGTAAGCACAATGCCTGCCAAGGTTTCTTCCCCTGAATTCTCCTGGTGCCTTTGCTGGAGTTCTGAAATAGGGTTGATTCTGAATTTGATCCACGACTTTGTGAATTGGGATTCGGAACACAGTTGTCACTGCTTGTGTAGCCCTGAGTTCTGTCTCTTCCTTGCTGGATCTGTTGTTACCTCGGCCTCGCTTCGGCGAGCCATTTCCCTTTTCTTGCTTTTCCTCCTTGGTCCCCGATGTATCTTCTTCGGCTCTGGCATACTTCTCGATCCTTGCCATGAGCTCTTCCATGCTTTTTGGCAATGTCTTTGCCAAAGATTTTCGTAGTGGACAGTCGTCTTTTAGCCCGTTCTTGAAAGATACAACCGCCACCTCTTGATTACACTCTGGAATTCAGTTGAACATCTCATAGTACCTTTTTGCATAGGCCCTAAGGGCTTCATCCTTACTGATCTTCAGAGCCATTAATGCGTCCACCCTTAATAGATGTAGCTTGTTTGTCACAAACCTGGCCACAAACATCTCGGTCAGGCCTTCCCAGGTCTTCACACTTCCCTTCGGTAGTTTGTGAAACCAGTCTGATACAATCTCCCCGAAGGATGAGGGGAATACTTTGCAGAGCAACGGCTCGTTCCCACTATACAATGCCATTGAGTTCAAATATAATCCAACGTGGAAGTTGGGGTCTGACTTACCATCGTATATTTGGAACCTGGGCATACTGAATCTCTTTGGCACCTCAAATTTGTCCAACTCCACTGAGAATGGTGTTCTCGGTTTATCAGGGGAGTTTACCTCGGCATCGGGCTTTTGTTGCTTCCTCTTGAGGTAATCTCTTAACTCCTTCTTTGTCTGCCTAGGAGCTCGGCTATCTCCTGATCTCAATCTTTTTGGTGCACTACTTTCAGCTTCGTGGTGAGTCCTCTTCGACCTTTCTTCATTAGCTGTGTCGAAGCACAGCGCCTGCCCCTGAACATGCTGATGTCCTTTGGGGTCTGCCTCTTTTGTGTGATGCATTCTCCGTGATTCTTCTCTCATCGGCTCTCCTCGCCCGACCTCCCGATGTTCTTTGGGGTCTGCCTCCTTGGCGCGATGCGTTCTCCGCGACTCTTCTCTTCTTGACTCTCCTCGTCCGACCTCCATTGAAGGCCGGTGAGAGTGTTTTTCACTCCTGGTGTGCTGGGGGGCTATTGGGATTGGCTTCTGTCCCCCCTTCTGGGCATTGGCCGCCGGGATTGGTGTGTCCTGCAGCGGGAATGGCGGCTGCATGACATTATTTTGCATTATGAAATTGACGACTGACTGCAGGTCCGTCAATTTGTTCGTCATCTCTTTTACTTTTTCGTCCCTCCGCAGGCATCTATCCTTCCATACCTGGAGGTCGTCTTCGTTGCAGTACCTACTTTGGTCTGGTTTCTTCGGTACGTCACCATCCTGGTCAACGTCTTTTTTGCTGTGATTCTGGTTACGAGTTTCTGTGTTACGGTTGTCTCTTTCGATGTTAAGGTCGATAGGTATGCCACTCCCAGCAGGAGTGTCGTCCCCAATCTTTTCCTTATGTCCGCCGTTGGCCATCTATTCTCCTTTCTTTCCCACAGACGGCGCCAAATTATGTGAGTGATTTTCCAATCACACTGCCAACTTAGTTATTCAGCTGGAGAGTACTGGCAGAATAGATGACACCCGGCTGACCTGCAACAGAAGAGAAGATTCCGGCGGTGGTTCGTCCACCCGGGGGCACTCCGACGATCAAGTCAGTATATCTCTCAAAGATAATCAATAGTGCTAAACTCACTGCTCAGAACATAAACTGCGTACCTTAGACCCATCGGGGGTGCCTCTATTTTATAATTAACTCCATCCTAGTCCCCATAGAAGCCTAGCTTCAATGGACTTCTGCTCAGTGCTTATCCTGGACTCTTCAAGAGATAAAGATAAACTCCCTAAGGGCTCGTTTGTTTTGAAGGATAACTCATGGGATTGGACTATTAATCCGGAGGGATTAATAGTCCGTTGTTTGGTATGGATTTTTTGGTCCGGATTAATAATCCCTCCGGACTATTAATCTGGGATTCACTGGCTTATTGTATCCCGGGGGGGCTTGGGACAGAATTAATGGGACAATGTATCCCATGGGATTAGCTAGGTTTATTACATCTTTGATCCTCTCATCTTTCTTTTAGCTTTTCCCATTTTGCTTTCACTGCAGAAGTTCATTTCACTATAGGAGCAAGAGCTTCATTTCATCTTGAATCTTCGATCTATTGAACCTTTGCATCCGATCTTCATTCAGGTTTGAAACTCATTCTATTTATTTTTTGCTGAGCTTCATTCTATTAATTTTCAGCAACTTCATGCTATTTATTTTCAGCAGATTTTTCCAGATTTTTCGATCTTCTATTTATTCCAGATTTTTTTTTTCCAGATCTGTAACCTTTAGCTCTGTTGGTTGATTTCTTTGTTTTATTGATTTATATATCTTCACCTTGGATCTATGTAGATGGCAAGTATACAAAAGAGAAATCCATTCAGTTTAGATCTATAACATTTCATCTTTTTTTTGCTTTGTTTTTTATTTATACAAAGAAAATCCATGCTCTGTTTTTTCCCACATTTGATGTGCAGCAGCACCATCCATTCTTTCCTACAAATTTCACATGCTAAACAAATCTAGCATGAGTCCAAGTACAGTGAGAATTAGTGGGTTGGCATTGGTTGATTCTTTGCACAAATCTAAGCTTGAGTCCAAGTTTAGCTTAAAGAATTTTTTTTTCACATTTGGGACAACATCCCTAAACAAGGATTCATTAGTACTCTTGACATTTTATAGGTGGGAGTGCCTTTTTTTGTATAGTTATATTTCAAAACATTAGTTAAAATCTAAAATGATCTCCTTCACTATACTTGGACCATGATATGCAGCAGCACCAGTCATTCTTTCCTGCAAATTCCACATGCCAAACACAATTACTTTTTCATTTCAATCTAAAAATACCTATATTATTAATTTCCTCACACATTTGTCACTACATAACTGATTAGGCTATGCTTGGATGCTGGATTCGTCAAGTAAAAAGGAAATGTTAGAGAAATGAAATTACTAATACAACTTCAAGATCCAAACACTGCATTAGTGCACCCAAAAAAAAATTGAGATGATGTACAGAAGTAATGATCTCATGGTAGCAAAATACAAATATTATTAAAAGGACATGGCAAAATGTAATCCATTCTTCCAATTACATATTTCAAATCCACTAGAAAAAGCTCATCTGAACCACAAAAAGAGAGCTAAAACATAATACCCATTTCTCATTTATAAGATACAAAAAAAATTAAATAAAAATAACTTTCCTCTTACAAAATAATTAAGCCTCTAAGCTGTGGCCTGGGGCAACAAAATCAATCTTCTATGTAGTATTTAATTATCAATAGATTTTCTGCAACCAGGCTTTAAAGTTCCATTTTCAGTGTAATAGCTATCATCCTATTATAGTGGTGGCCAAGAAGTTTATTACCTCCCTAATGTAACCACACAGGTTGCATCAAACCACGAAAAGACCAATAATCTAAAACATTAATTTTGTTTATTTTTCAATAAAATCATCTATTTATTTTCAACAGCTTCATTCTATTTATTTTCCGATCTTGTATTTATTCTCCGATCTATTTAATAAATTGTTTATGATTTGCCGTTATGTTTTCTCCTTTACTTAATTTATTTGTAATTTTAAATATTTTCTTCTATATAGAGGTGGATCAGAATATCAATGATTTTGATGATGAGAGTAACGATGAGCTTGAATTATACGTAGTGTTGCAAGCTGTAATGCAAGAACTACATGCCTTATGCACCGTAGCTTTTGTTGTCATTGAGGTTGTCTTGAAAAGGTATTTATCTGAGTATCTCCATAACCTTATTAGAGAGCCTAATCGACTGCAAAAACAAATGGACTATATTAACCGTTTAGTGAGAGAAAGTGACATAACATGTGTTGAACAACTCCGTATGGATCGGCGTGCTTTTATGACCTTGTGCAATATGGTTCATACGAAAGGTGGGTTAGGGCATTCAAAATATGTCACTTTAGAAGAGAATGCGGCCTTTTTCCTCTTCATCTTGGCACAACACTTGAAAATACGAAATGTTAAGTTCAATTTCTATAGGTTTGGAGAGACTGTTAGTCGGTATTTCAATGATGTCTTAAAGGCTGTGTTGCGTCTGCAAGCCAATTTACTCGTCACACCAAATCTTATAACTGAAGCAAGCACCGATCCAAGGTGGAATTGCTTCCAGGTAATGGATTTGTAAAAATTTGGTAACACTGCATTACTTTTTTTTTTATTTCTTTTATTAAATCTTTTTTACCAAAAATAAAAATCATAACTATTATAATGTCTATTGAATTGGTTTGTTTAGGATTGTCTTGGAGCACTCGATGGCACCTATATTAAAGTTCGTGTACCTGTGGTTCATCAAGCAAGGTATAGGACAAGAAAAGGAGAGATTGCTACTAATATTTTGGGAGTTTGCTCCCAAGACATGAATTTCATATATGTGTTGCCGGGGTGGGAAGGGTTAGCGGCCGACTCTAGGGTTTTGAGAGATGCAATCAATCGACCCAATGGCTTAAGGACCCCAAATGGTAATACGAAAGTACTTAATTTTTCTTAAATTCATGAATAAAAATTTAATCTAATGCATAACATTCCACGCACAGGTTACTATTACCTAGTGGATGCGAGGTATACGATTGGGAAAGGATTCTTAGCACCTTATTGTGGTCAGCGATACCATTTGTTTGTTTGGAGAGAAGGAGCAACGCCAAATAATTACCAAGAATATTTCAACATGAAACATGCATCAACCAGGAATATCATAGAAAGGTCTTTTGGAATGTTGAAAATGAGATGGGCTATACTTCGTAGTGCATCATACTATCCCATTAGAACCCAAAATCGAATTATCACAGCATGTTGCTTGTTACACAACTTCATTCGACGAGAGATGGTAGTTGAACCTCTAGAGGATGATCCAGACTTAGTGGATGCCTTAGAAAATCAACCCCCAATGGAAGATGATTTTATTGAGACTGTTGAGACATCTAACGAGTGGACTGAGTGGCGGGATACATTTGCAATGTAATTGTACAACAATTGGTTGGCTAATGGAGGGGCTGGATAAAGATAGCTTTGTGTTTCTACTTTGCTTTGTTGTTAAACGATTTAAATTTGTGATGTGTCATTGCTATGTACGTTTATGAATAATTGACATTGTGGATGCTGAATTATATTTGCAATGGTTGGTATTATGATATATATGTTTGTGAGTTATTTATATTTTATGGTAATGCATATGAAATGTTCAATTATTACTGTAGGCATGGATAATGAGGTATCCAGTTCTCGTAAGAAAAAGAATGACAAGGTTGATTCATTAAAACAAAGGCGAATATGGAGCCCACGTGAAGAGGACTGTCCAATTTCAGCCTTGTTGTTCATTGTGAATGATGGAATGAAAGTTGACAATTCTTTCAAGGCAGGCTATCTTATGAAATTGGAGAATAAAATGGCGGAGTTGTTACTCGGGATAGATTTACGTGGCTTTCCCCATATCGAATCAAAGATTAAAATATGAAAGAAGCAATACAATTCTGTGTCTGGTATGCTTGCTACTAGTGGGTTTGGATGGAATCATATTGAAAAAAGAATTGACGTAGAGAGTGATAGTGTATGAGAGGCATATGTTCGGGTAAAGTTATCTCCTTTTGTTATTTGCATACTATTTCATATATGTATTTTAACCTTATGTATTTTAACCTTAGTTGGTCATTGTAGAGGGACAATGATGCAAAACACCTGAGGAAGAAAACTTTCTGACATTTCGATGAATGGATTCAAATATTTGGCAAAGATCGAGCTACAGAAGAGTTTGCTAAAGACCCTACTGATGCAGTTGAGGCTATGAATGCTGAGGAAGATGTGTTGTTGCATGGTCTTGCAGATAATGACACTTTTCTGGAACAAATGGGATTAAATAGTCAGACTGGTGAAGCAATAGATTATTCAAACTCAGCCACTCAATGGCCTTCTGATAGTTCTACCAAAAATAAAGACAAGAAAAGACCTAGAGCCAATGATGAAGTAGTTGAAGGGCTGACCATGTTTGCTGACAAGTTGGTGGATGTCTTGGGAACAACCAATGATAAGCTAGAATTCATAGGAAAAAGAAAGGGGTATTCACATGATCTTGCATCTAAACGGGCATCACTAAACGATGAACTTACGAAGTTGCCAATTACTGTAGATGAAAGGTTAGATGCTTGTGAAATCATATCCCATGATGTCTAAAAGCTTGACATGTTCTTCAGCTTGACACATGATGATAGGCTAAGGTGGGTGATGATGTTACTAAGTAGGCATGCTCCATAATAAACTTGTTGCATTTCATTGGAGTATTTTCTTTTTGGCGATGATTTGATATACATGGTAGGGAATGCTTTTTGTTAAGTCTATTATAAACTTGTTGATAGACTTAATTATCACTTCTTTTGTGTACAAGCACCCGTGTTTTGTTAACTATAATTGGGATGCTTTTTATATATTGTTTTTGTGGTTGGCTTTGCATAATATCTTTGCTTTAGACTTCGGATCATAATAGAAATTGTGAAGTGTCCTTATTAGCTCTTTTCCTTTATGGTGTTTATATTTCCACCTGATTGAATAATTGAAATTGTATATATTGCCTTTATGGTGTTTATAATTGACTAATTGAAATTGAAATTGTATACATTTTATGGTGTTTAATTGAAATTCTATATATTGCCTTTCTATGGTTGGCTTTGTATTGTGTTTCCAGATTTCTAGTTATGACAAACAAAAAAATTCTGATAATAACATAACAAAGCAATATATAGGTTGATTTTTTTATGTAAGGGTGTTCACAAATTATGTTTTCAGATTTTTTTGCTTTGAGGTTCTCATTTGATTTTTTATGATAATAAAATTGTGATGTTTTATATCAAGGATTGTGATATATATTCTTTTTATACAAAAATCTAGCTACACTAAAAATCTAGCTAGATGTTTAGTTGAACACTTGAAAAAATTGGAATGACAAGGTAGAATTAGGCATGAAGTCAATAAAATCTGTGACGCATGAAGTCAAGAACTTTGTCATGTTGTTATCACAATTGCTACCTTGTCTTGATCTACTAGAATTACGCATGAAGTCAAAAAAATTTAATACTTGGTGCATTCATGGTATTAATTATACTTAATAAAGTAAAAAAAAAAAATTAAAATCTCAATTACAAATTAAAATAAATTTATGTAATATTTATTAATATTCTATTTATTTAATATTTTAAAAGTTAATTCAAAAGGGCAAAATAGTCTTTTGAACATTTATCCTTCTCCATAATATCCCAAACAAACATGGGATTCAATAGAATAGTCCAATCCAGACCTCTAATCCTATGACTAAACAAACATAGGATACAAATCTAGTCCGACCAAATAGTCTAGGGACAATGTATCCCAGGACTAACAGTCCGATGGATTACAATCTCTCCTTATTCAGTCCGTCCAAACAAACGCACCCTAAGAGTGTTATCCTTATCCACTCTAAAGTCCTTCCTTATTCTAGGACTCTTTTGCCTTATCCGCTTATCTTGGATTTCGATATCTTCGGAGATAACCTCGGCCTAACCGACATCATCTTGGCTTCATAACCTGGACACATGGCATCTCGGCTGACACGTCGGCGTCGCCTTTGCCACGTGTTGGGATTCAGAAAATAAATCCCCACAGTGAGTATACATGGAAGTATTTTATTCTGGAGTTAAATATTAGTTTTACAAACTAATTTCATTTTTTACGAAGAAACCTTTGTGGCAAATTTATTTTCTTTATTGGTTTACTGATTCATTCTTTAATTTCTGTGTATGGATCCGTAGTCGTGAATAGTTTCTGCACATGAGTCGGAAAATATATATATATATATATATTCACAAGAACATTTTAATATGTATATAATTAGTTTATTTATGTACAAATCAAACTGATTAAATGAAGGTATGTTTTGTCATTTATGGAGTTTAAAATTCAAAACGCGTTGAATTTTATTTATGAGTTGAGAATCTTTTTATTTCATGATGCAAGTTATGGGATCATGCATGATTAATTTATTTTGTTAATTCATTAATTTTAGTTGATACGTTTGATATGCATGTATTGATATCAACTCAAGTTATTTCTTAAAAAATAACTTCATGTGATTTGGAATGATAATTTAATATGTTGACTTTGTACATAAGCAGATTAATTTGAGTATTTCTAATCAATTTTGAATGGGTGTTTAAACACCAGAGAAATTTAAACACGAAGATGTATGTAGTTATATCGTTCCGTTTAATAGGAAGTAAATTTAAGAAATCTTTTATGTGGATTATTATTTGTTGAATTTGTGACATAAGATGTTGTCAATCATTATTTTACTTATGTAGTAGAATTTGTTAAACCATAAAACATTATTTTGATATGGGAGTATATCTCTTGCATTAGAAGAGATAATTTAGTTTTCTTTTATCACAAATATTTTTGTGTCAGTGTTACTTATTCGTAAATGAGTTGTAAGAATTTATACAATCAAATGAGATTTTTGATTTGTTCGATTCTTAGGCAAAATCTTTATGAGGATATGATTTTGTCAAAACATTAATTTTGACTTGTGTAGTCATAATTATTTTGGTTTTTTCTTGAATTTGCTTTGAAATTTATTGATTTATATTAGATGTGATAGGGGTGGTGAATATGATGCACCTTTAAATGAATTTTGTGCACCACATGGTATTATTCACCGAACTACAGCACCCTATTCTCCTCAGCAAAATGAAATTGCTGAAAGAAAAAATAGAACCCTAAAAGAAATGATGAATGCCATGTTTCTAAATTCAGGCTTACCACAGAACTTGTGGGGGGAAGCAATATTGTCTGCTAATTATATTCTTAACAGAATACCGTACTAGAAAACCAATAGCACTCCTTATGAATTGTGGAAAGGTCGACCACCTTCCTACAAATACTTAAAAGTGTGGGGGTGTTTGGCAAAAGTTGAAGTTCATGTTCCTAAAAAGACTAAGATTGGACCAAAAACAGTAGATTGTGTGTTTATTGGTTATACTCAGAATAGTAGTGTATATCGGTTTCTGACTTATAAATCAGAAATACCTGATATAAATGTGAACACTATTATAGAGTCAAGGAATGCTGTGTTTTTTGAACACGTCTTTGCTTACAAGAAAGGACAGGAATTAAGTTCACAGAAAAGAACTTATGATTGTACACAAAATCAAGAGACTAATGACAATCAAACACAAGAGGCTAGTAATGGTCTCAACCAATAGGATTTAACTGATGATGAACCAAGAAGAAGTAAGAGAACGAGAACATCAAAATCCTTTGATCCAGATTTTCTGACATACCTGTTAGAACATGAACCTCAAAGCTTTAAGGCAGTAATGACAGGTCCTGAAGCACCTTTGTGGAAAGAGACTGTTAATAATGAAGTAAAAAAGCGAGAGCATCAAAATCTTTTGATCCAGATTTTCTGACATACCTGTTAGAAAATGAACCTCAAAGCTTTAAGGCAGCAATGACAGGTCCTGAAGCACCTTTGTGGAAAGAGGCTGTTAATAATGAAATTGAATCCATTATGCAAAATCATACTTGGGAATTGGTGGATCTTCCACCAGGTTCTAAACCTCTTGGATATAAATGGATATTCAAAAGAAAAATGAAAGCAAATGGTCCAATAGACAAGTATAAAGCAAGACTTGTAGTAAAAGGTTACAGACAAAAGGAATGTCTGGACTATTTTGACACATATTCCCCTGTGACAAGAATAACATCCATTCGCATGCTTATTTCTATAATAGTGTTGTTTAATTTAGAAATACATCAAATGGATGTTAAGACAACTTTCTTAAATGGTGATCTAAATGAAGAGATCTATATGGAGCAACCCGAAGGGTTTGTAGTGTCGGGACAAGAAAAGAAAGTTTGTCAGCTTGTAAAGTCTCTTTATGGATTAAAACAAGCACCGACGCAATGGCATGAAAAATTTGACCATGCAATGCTTACTAA